ACATGGTTGTTGTTCAATAATAAAATTAATCCTCAAAAATACAACTTGCCTAATAATTCTGCACTCCCTGTATATTTATATATATATTAGGGAATACTTTGATTTATGTGAAGCCATAGTTGAAGAAGAGATGAAAGTTTGAAAGTATGTGTTTTAATATTGTGTTGTGCCAATAAAATAATACAGCAATGAGCTGGTATTGAAAACATTGTTAACCCAGCCAATAGTATTTTTTATTTAAAACTGCCTTTCTATTCCTTTGATAATAAGATTCATTAATAAATAAACTATTGTTAGTTTATTGCCGTTTTAAATGTTGATATTTACATTTTTGCATTTTTTTTATTTTTAGCTCTTGCTTTCCGTCATACTTGAGGCTCAACTCAGATGTTGTATGCTGTGAAAGTATGCAGTACCATAGGTGGAGTCTAAAAATTGCATTTATACATATTGGGGGTTATGTATAAAGAAAAAATCTGGGGCATAGATCGAAAAAGTGGAGCAGTCACCATGGAAACCAATGGAATGCTGTGACTAAGTGCTCCATATTTAGTCCATGGAACCGTAATTGTTCTTTGATAAAATCCTCATTCGGCCAGATTGAAAAGCTGATGTTGACAGCCAGCTCTTAAAAAAGATTAGGGAAGACTGCAATGCAAGACCTTTTAATCCCATTTAGTGATCACTCTCTCAATGTCTATCTAGTTTAGTTTCTTTACTATACCATAGCCTCGCTTCATGTAATTCCAATATTGTTTATCGTATGTCTTTCTTGTACATCTGGTTAACAGTTTATGGTTTCATTCTCAATTTTACTTTTTTGCTTGTCTTGTCATGCTTTCTTTATGATGTCAATTTTGTACGATTTTACTGTCTTTAATGCTCTCTCTCTCTCCTTTTACCATTTACAATTTACTTATTTTTTATTATTATTTCACATCGTGAAGACAGATATTACATAAACAATGGTTTTATGGAATTGTAAGAATATTCTTTATATGTCACTACAAATTCAAGCATGAAACATGAAACCTTCTGAGAGAAATATAAATTAATATCCATGCTAACATTTAAACAGCTTCCACAGCTACAAACTACTGGGACAGCCTAGCATGAACATGAATGTCTAATCACACACCATCTGCCAAGTCTAATAGGTCAACAATATCTTCTATAATCCTTGAGCATCAGGGCAGTAAAAGTTAGAGAATTGCATTGTTTTTTCCATTTCCCTTTCTTTGGTGAAAAGTAATCTTGACTATAGCTAACATTTGTGCTCCTATGTATTTTTGTCACTAAATCATTAAACTAAATTATATAACTCTCTTCCTTTAATTCATATATTAAAATATTTTGATATATTGTGTTTTAGCTTGTGGAATGCAATAAAGTGATTTAAAATAAACTTAAGAAAGTTTGGACAGCATGCTTATCTTTTATCTATTAATTAGTAAATATCTACCACTTTGACTTTGTCTTAGTAAGCACCATTTTAATATTTCCTACTGACATTTTACAAAACACAACATTTTTACATAATTTGAAAATTATGCTTTACTATTGCACTACTGAGTGCCAATCATAACTCCACAAATTCTCCTATAAGTCAACACACTTTTTTTAAACATAAAGATATAAAGATACTTTTATCATAGGGTTTATTAAATTGATTTTGTTTTTTTGTTGTTTTTTTTAAACAAAATTTAAAAAGCACTAGACTCAATTAAAAAGTGTGTATATATGTATGTATATATACCGTATATACTGGAGTATAAGCCGACCCGAATATAAGCCGAGGCCCCTAATTTTACCACAAAAAAATGGGAAAACTTATTGACTCGAGTATAAGTCTAGGGTGAGAAATGCAGCAGCTACTGGTAAATTTCTAAATAAAATTAGATCCCAATAAAATTACATTAATTGAATATTTATTTACAGTGTGTATCTAATGAATGCAGTGTGTGTGTTTGTGTGTGTATATAATGAATGCAGTGTGTGTGTGTGTGTGTTGTGTGTGTGTATATAATGAATGTACTGTGTGTGTGTGTTGTGTGTGTATATAATGAATGCAGAGTGTGTGTTTGTGTGTGTATATAATGAATGCAGTGTGTGTGTGTGTGTTGTGTGTGTATATAATGAATGCAGAGTGTGTGTTTGTGTGTGTATATAATGAATGCAGTGTGTGTTTGTGTGTTGTGTGTGTATATAATGAATGCACAGTGTGTGTTTATATAATGAATGCAGAGGTCGTGTTTGTGTGTGTATATAATGAATGCAGTGTGTATATAATGCAGTGTGTGTCTGTGTGAATGCAGTGTGTGTAAACTGGGTGAGGGGAGGGCATTTTTATTTTACTATTTTAATATTAAATTATATTATTTTAATATTATTATTTTATTTTATTATTATATTATTATTATTCTATTATTATTTTATTAATATTTTAATATTTGTATTTATAAACAAACAGAATATCAGAATTGGTTAATTCAATTATTACCGGGCTCTTCTCTCGAAGAGAGAATGCCAAGTTATAGAGATATCAGGAATTTTTTTTATGTTGATGAATATAGTAACGTAGTATAATGTAAGATGAAAAAGCTATTTGATTTTTTTGTATAGTATTAAAATAAAATAAAAAAACACCTGCAATCACTTCAATAAGTGACCAGTAAAAATCAGGAGTGTGTGCAGAGTAAGCTTAATAGTTAAATAATGAACTACTAATAATTAAAATATTAGAAATGGCAATTCATTATCTTATGTTTTTGGATATACCGTATAGCATATTGAGTGCCTCAAAATGTACTAATTACCTCCCAATAGATAAAAAATGAATACCTATGTGGATTTGTGGTTTTTCTTTTTTTCTTTTTTTCAATGTATAAATGTTATTAAGGTTTTCAGCAAAACAAAGAAATATCATAAATAGGACTGTTAGGACTCTATATTGCTTCTTAGATATTGTGTCTATTGGTCTCGGACACCCCCACCAATAGGGTTTTTACTCTCAGCCTGGTATATTTACTTTAACCCCTTAGGGACCAAACTTCTGGAATAAAAGGGAATCATGACATGTCACACATGTCATGGGTCCTTAAGGGGTTAATCAAGATTGGGGTCAGGGCAAATCCTGGGCTAAAAAACGCAGTCTAATAAAGATACCATTAGTTTAACCCCTTAAGGACACATGACATATGTGATGTCATGATTCCCTTTTATTCCAGATGTTTGGTCCTTAAGGGGTTAAGCAATTTACTGGATGACCCTATACTCCCATTATGAGTTAGTGGAGAAGTCTTATAAGGCTAGTCATTTTCCTATTTTGTTTCTAGTTTTGAGACGCATGTGTATATATGTACATTTAGTGTTGGTCCAGCTAAATGTAACAGTTACATAAACAAGATACTTAACTACTATCCAGCTTTCACTCACCCATTCATTTGTGGTTTGAGTGACTTCAGCTTTTTTTTTTGTGTTTCCTTCTATTCATATATCATAGGGCTAAGCCCTGCAGATACAGCTGGAGTATCTTTACTGGTGCAGAGATCCTAAGCGGTGTTCCCTTAGGTATCTGATTATTTGTTTGAATTACCATTGTTTGTATGGGGCACTCTTTACTCACCAACCTTTTGCACTTGAAATCATCAAGTAAAAAGCTGCAATGGTCCTAAAAATGTGTATTCATCTTTTTTTTATTTTGCAGGATGCATAATTAAAAATAATGATGCATATTTATTCAAAGAGAAGGAAATGGAACAAGTCACCAAGGTAAAAGTAAATTTGGAACTTACAAAAACACCGGCAGATCCTCTATGCTGCTTTTAGAAAGGTTCAGAGTCCAAATAAATAGATCTCTTCTTAGTATTATGATGTTCTCTAACTCCTTAATATTCCATACAATAATGTATGATTAGTGGTGAGTGTTCTTCGGGCATTTAAGCAATATGTATACACATTTAGTAGACTTTTTAAGTGGGCAGATGATAATTTGCAAAGCGTTGCTTGCAGCGAAGACATTTAATTATTTATTAATTATATTATTCATTGGCTTCTATATATTGAAATTCCCTAGCTAAAAAAAAAACATAAACACAGATAATTAACTGCAAACACAGTTAAGTGCACAGGTTCATTATGAGATTCATGCATAATGATAATGTTAAGTTTAACTAGGTCATTGTTATCATTATAAATCAGAATATTACAAGTTACACATACCTCATTCAGCACTTGTCTGTTCTGTGATTTAATGTTAAGCACTACCATCTAATCAAACCAAGCATAATCAACCCAACCCATTTGAAAACTTATTATAGTCGAAACCACTACATTTCCAAAATTAGGTTAGGTTATTTTCTCATGAGGAATAGGCTTCCAAACAAAAAGGTCTCAGATTTTTGAGCAACAAGTGCCTCTGCCATTTGAAGAGGACGAGTATTGCTAATAGTATAGCTATCCAATAAATTTTTTATATTATGATCACGTATCCCTATGTTTAACAAATATGTATTTGTGAGGTTTGAAAAATAAAATTACATGTAGAAATCCAAACTTCTAAATCTGGGCACATCCTTATCAATTATTGTTCTAATCTTTGTCTTTGCACCTGGTAGTAAATACAGTGTTCCTATTTCTCTTCTTCATTAGCAATGTTTGCCTTGACTAAACTGGATTATAAAAAACATGCAATGCTAAATATCTAATATAAGTTTAAAAAAGTTATAGATCAAGTTATAGATCATGTTGAGAGTTTTTTTTCACTGCTGTAACTTTCAGAGAAGTTACAGGTACCTTTTTAAAATGTTTTTGTGACAAATGCATATTGTTCTTAACCTTTACTCATGTTTCTACCACTACAATATACATATAAGAAATATAGTAAGCACTCAACTCTAGTAGGTAAGCCCCTGTGTTATAAACGTGCACTATTTAAAGAAAGGTGCTAGAATGGGTTAAAAATCTTGTTACCATATCAAGAATATATATACAAATAGAAGAAACCCACAGCACACCATTTCATACAACAATATTTATTCAGTTAGATAAAATATATCTAATTCAATAAATATTTTTGCATGAAATGGTGTGTTGTGGGATTCTTCTATTTCTACCAGTATAATGCCTGAAATATTCCATCTACTCATCACCTCTTCCAGTCAGTAAAGAAGCTGAGATCAGGGTAAAGAAAAGTAATGTAATGGTTTCAAAAACAAGGTATGGATTGGAGAGCACAGCAAATTGATAAAATAGCCAAAGGTCAATCTGGAAAGTCATCACAATGATAAGAAGTGCACTGATCTATCAAAAGTATGACTGACACAGGTAGATGCATAGAGCCAAATGGTGGAAGGATATCAGGAAAAGTCCTATAGAATTCCACAGTGTAACTCATTGAAACAACTCGAGTAAAAACTGGCAACAAAGTAGGCTCAATTAATTATGGATGGCACAGTTGGCAGAAGGAGCATGGGCAGATAACATGAACGTTTGCCCATGTTTTCTACTTACTCTAATAAATAAAGAGGCCACTATGTTTAACAAGCTTGGCTGACCCCTTTAAGGCCCCATGGGTGACATAAGTCTTGACACATGTCTATTCTGTCCCTCCTAATAATACATTCCAATTTTGTTACTTCTATATCTATGTTGGGAATGACTATTATTATAAATTTTATATAGCACCAACTTATTCCAATATGCTTTACAATTTTTGAAGGGGAAATGGGACATTATTACAAACTATCGACTTATGTCGACAAATGTTTCTGCATAACTCAGTTATATATTTACTGTAGTGCAGACATTTCTACTTTCAAATATATAATATTTACGACTTTCTGTCCAATGAGCTATTACATTCACTTTATTAAAACAGTCATCTATTTTATACAGCATAATTTAAGGGTATAATGTCTCTGCATTTGAGTTGACATTTTCTTTATTGTAGATTCATACCTATAAACTAAATACCAAATACTAGACTATGGTCACTAAAGAGGGACCTATGACCACTGAACCTTTACTTTCATAAATTGAACATTATCCATTACATACAAGCCATTTTATAACTGAGCTGTTAAGGGGCATTCTGTATTTAAATTAACATTTTCTTTATTGTTGATACATGTCTAGAAATGGCTTACTTTGTTTTTTGCTCCCATAGTCAAGTCTGTTTGTTATGTGTATAATTGTTTGCAGGTTCTTTATTACATTTTTTAGGGATCCATTCAATAATTAATGTCAGCAGGGCACCTCTTTAAATTCTGAAAACTTCAATGAAGAAATTAACAGTTTAAAGTGTATAAAATCATGACTGTAATTATTCCACTCTATCTAGCAGGCAAATCTGAAATTGATAAAGTGCTAGTGTTCATGCGTATTAACTTGAACTACATGTGTCCATCTTTGAAGTATAGCTGCAACTCTGTTATAAATAATAGTCAAATGTTAAACACCTTCATCTTTTGAAAGATATGAATTATGTTGGTTTAATTACGTAGTATACGCAAAGGGAACTGCTAGTTGTATGCAAGCAAGTTGAATTCATAAAACATAAAAACATAGTTGAGGCACAAAAAGATAACTTGTTATACCACAAATATGCAACCATTTCTCATTTAGGGTACAGCCAACTTCAAGATTTTTTCCAAAATACAGCAGACTTTTAAGGAAATCATATAATGAATAGATACCTAATATTTAAATCATTCAAGAAGCAACACATATTTTAATGGTATGTTATGACTGTGTACTTTAAGACATAGAATGGGGTTAAAGGACCACTATAGGCACCTAGACCACTAGTCCAGGTAGGTTTAACCCTTTTTGCTGTAAACATAGCAGTTTCAGATTAACCCATTAGTAAACTGCTATGTTTACTAATGGGTTAATCCTGCCTCTAGTGGCTGTCTCATTGATTTTCACAGTGAGAAGACACCAGCGTCTATAGGAAAGCATTAAGAATGCTTTCCTATGAGACTGGCTGAATGCGCGCGCGGCTCTTGCCGCGCATGCGCATTCAGCCAGGGAGGTCAGAAGAGGGAGGAGAGTCCCCAGCGCAGAGGGAGCCCGGCGCTGGAAAAAAGGTAAGGGATTAACCCCTTCCTCCCCCCTCAGCACCACGGGAGTGGGACCCTGAGGGTGGGGGCACCCACAGGGCACTATAGTGCCAGGAAAACGTGTATGTTTTCCTGGCACTACTGTGGTCCTTTAACTCAGTGGTAAGTTAAGGCAGCACAGAAAACAATGCCGAATCATATTCTAAATATGAAAAATAAATACATTTTGTACTGACATGGTTTTCATATGTAGGATTGCAAAATTCAACAACGGCATTTGGGTGACAGAGGGCATTTGGGGGTGTAATATAGTAGCCCTCAATCCCAGGCTTGGGAGTTTGGGGTAAAGAAACTGCAGTGAGCGAGAAGTTAAGCATGAAATCAGTTTATTCAGTTTTGTATGGAACAAAAATATGCAAACTAAATTCAGATTAACAAAACCAAAACATGAATGAAATTTAATTTTTTAGAATCGGTTTATTGTATTCCGACGAACTGATTCAGATTAGCCGACTTTTCCTTTTGTGTGCAAGTTGAGTTTAAACATATAATTTTAATAAGACTTTTTACTGTGAAGGTCTGTGATACTTTCATACATATCTAATATTTTACCTAACAGTACATCTCTTTAGAGAACCCCGGGTCTGAAAGAGCTATCCACAAATAAAGATAGTTTGAATGGCATGCTAAATGTAAAATGTATTTTTCTCTTTTGAATTAAAATTGATAGGTTTTGCACAAGTGTATTAAAACTGAAATAACTTAAGAAATTTCAATTTACATTTCTGATAATCATTGGGCTATGGCAAACAATTTTATATTGCTCTAACTCTGAACAGCTCTTCAAAATGGCTTTTTGTGTAGGAGGCTGGTGCAAGCTACAAGAGAAAGGTAAGTGTACTCAGAAATATGATTTATTCAGTACTATAATGAAATGTTTTACAATGTTCTTTCATAAAAAGCAATTTGTATTTTATCTATAATTTCATTTTAATTTACTTAAATTAATATGAACTTTACTAGAAGCTACATCTTCTTGTTTTTCTCAGCTGCAATAAAAAAAAATCTCTCCACCCACGTGTATTCAGAATATTATGCTCAGGAAATAGAAGTCAAATAGATAATACAATTACATCTATGGCTAGTAGGGTTATTCACTAAATCACAAATGGTTAAGAATTGTCCAGGGAGTTTGAAATTTTAACATAAATAGCCGATCTTGAAACCAAGATGAGTTGGAGATTTTTCGGTTTCACTTGTAATGGCCTACAATGTGTAATTTTTGTGTTATTTCCGGACAATATCTGGTTTAGTGAATAATCCTTAAGCTGAGTTCGATTTCTCTTTTATTTTTCACTAAAATAAATCACAGAATGTCTTTGTAGTTGAAATTTTTGCTGCAACTGTGGCATGACATTTTCTGCTCATCTTGATGGTAACATCAATATATGGCCACATAAGGGATACAATAGTCAAAAAATGACTTCCATTTTAATAATGCAAAAAAAGTAAACAAAAAAAGTGCAGGGTACGTATGACATAGGTGAATGCGGCAGTTGACACCCCTCCCTTACCAATCAGAAGACTCTTATTTTAGTGTATATATTTTATTCTTAAAGTCTTGAACTGCGATATGGTATAGTTAAACATCTCTAATAAAAAACAAACCATCCATCCCAAAGGGTAGGCAGACTTCCGCACTCCCGATGTTGTGGACTATATTTTCTTAGATGCTTTCCAAGCATTATGGAAGATGTAGTCCACAACATCTGGAGTGCCAAAGGTTACCAATCATTAATCTATCCATTCATCTGTCTATATGTTCATCTGCCAAACCATTATCTGACAACAGACCTCTGTTAATGCTGCTCCCACCTATCTATCCTCCCTTATACACAATTATGTCCCATCTAGGACCTTACAATCTGCTGAAGACTTACATCTATCTTCTGTCCGTACTCCCACCTCTGATGCTCACCTTCAAGATTTCTCGAGGGCTGCACCATTCCTGTGGAACTCGCTTCCCTCCTCCGTTAGATGCTCACCCAGTCTCCACTCCTTCAAAAAATCGTTAAAAACCCACTTCTTCATAAAAGCGTATCAATTAAACTGTTAATAGCTCCTGACTGATTCCTCTTCTGCAACTGTCATTAGTCTAATACTATCCTTACCTTTTTGTGTCATTTTACCCCACTCCCTCTAGCATGTAAGCTCATTGAGCAGGGCCCTCAACCCCTCTGTTCCTGTGTGTCCAACTTGTCTGGTTGCAACTACATGACTGTTCGTCCACCCATTGTAAAGCGCTGTAGAATTTGACGGCGCTCTATAAATATCATAATAATAATAATAATAATCAAATATCTAGTATCTCCAACATGAAATTCCTGCCGTACCAAACAAATTTATGTATACTGAAAATTATTAAGCTGCATAGCTTAAACAAATGAATGCAAAATGTGGCGTTTAATCATTTGTTTTATTAAAGACCTCATTTTGTCTGTCAAAAACATGTAAACTTTTCAGTGTGTCAGATTCCGTTCTAGACATTAATGGCAATCACTCTGCAGCAGCTAAACTTTTTGGTATCTGGTAATTGCTTAGACAGCTCCCACGCTTGCTATGTTAAAATGTTTTTAATGATGTCTATTAATTTTGAACATTTTTCTTTTTCTGAAGCATTAGTTTCAAAATGACATTAGGCAAATCTCTTTTAATGAGTATTTATACGAAAGTGAAAAATTTGTATGAAGATGTAAAAAGAATACAAAATAGAGCAGCATACACAAATGCTGATGTCATCGATCTACACTATAAAAATAGAAACATAGTTTGAGAAAAAAAGAAAAATTTAAAGCCTTTTCGACTAGGTTGGCTAGATCGTCCATCGAGTCCGTCTATTTCCCATCTAAAAGCAAAAGCTATATATCAATATTATTTTTTATTCAAGACAGCACTGTAGCCATATCTACCAACTATGCTGTTTTGTATTTCAATGATTTTACAATTCTTTTGGCAAATAATAAATACTATTATTATTCAT